AAAAACTCAATGTTTCTTAACAAGGACATGGCATTGATGTGTTCTCTGGTGTGAATCAGGATGGAACTAAAAGGCTCAATGGTATTTCATCCTGCTACCTACCAGAACAAGGACATCACACTGATGTGACGGTACTAGGATTAAATTTCATTTGAAACTCGCCAAAACGCAACTATTTCATTGTGTAATTCACAAATACTTCTCACAATAATAATAATAAATAAGACTAAGTAACAAGATCAAAGTTTCATATCATACTAGTTTAATTGTCTATTTTAATAAATTAAATGACAACCTAAACAAACATTCCCAAAACAGTAAATGCAATCCTGGCAATGAGTTTATTTTGCATAAAACTAATACTTTTACTATCCTTGAAAAACAGTCATTGTACTACTTTGCTTGTGTAAAAATACATTGTTCAGATATCACAATCAACTTATTTTGACGAGAATCCCGTCTTGTTCTACACATATTTGTTAGTTTGTAAGATGCTAACTCCAACATCAGCTGCAAATTCCGATTGGTTATTCAACATATTTTTTTTTCTTTTTATTCAATGTTTCATGTGAAGAGATAAATATAGAATAGATACATGTACAGGTACTTGGTCCATGTGGATAGATAGATGTACTGGACCATGGTCCATGTGAATAGATACATGTACAGGTACCTGGTCCATGTGGATAGTTATACATACTGGACCATGGTCCATGCAAATAGATACATGCACAGGTACCTGGTCCATGTGCATAGATGTACATACTGGACCATGGTCCATTTGAATAGATACATGCACAGGTACCTGGTCCATGTGAATATATGTACGTACTGAACCATGGTTCATGTGAATAAATACATGTACAGGTACCTGGTCCATGTGGATAGATGTACACACTGGACCATGGTCCATGTGAATAGATGCATGTACAGGTACCTGGTCCATGTGGATAGATGTACGTACTGGACCATGGTCCATGTGAAATGATACATGCAAAGGTACCTGGTCCATGTGGATAGATGTACATACTGAACCGTGGTCCATGGTCCATACGAATAGATACATGTACAGGAACCTGGTCCATGTACATAGATGTACATACTGGGCCATGGTCCATGTGAATAGATACATGTACAGGTACCTCGTCTATATGGATATATGTACGTACTGGACCATAGTCCATGTGAATTGATACATGCACAGGTACCTGGTCCATGTGCATAGATGAACGTACTGGACCATGGCCCATGTGAATAGATACAAGTACAGGTACCTCGTCTATATGGATATATGTACGTACTGGACCATAGTCCATGTGAATTGATACATGCACAGGTACCTGGTCCATGTGGATAGATGTACGTACTGGACCATGGTCCATGTGAATAGATACAAGTACAGGTACCTGGTCTATGTGAATAGATGTACATACTGGACCATAGTCCATGTGAATTGATACATGCACAGGTACCTGGTCCATGTGGATAGATGTACGTACTGGTCCATGGTCCATACAAATAGATACATGTACAGGAACCTGGTCCATGTGCATAGATGTACATACTGGACCATGGTCCATGTGCATTGATACATGTACAGGTACCTGGTCCATGTGGATATATGTACGTACTGGACCATGGTCCATGTGAATAGATACAAGCACAGGTACCTCGTCTATATGGATATATGTACATACTGGACCATGGTCCATGTGAATTGATACATGAACAGGTACCTGGTCCATGTGGATAGATGCACATACTGGACCATGGTCCATGTGAATAGATACAAGTACAGGTACCTGGTCTATATGGATATATGTACGTACTGGACCATGGTCCATGTGAATAGATACATGTACTGGTACATGGTCCATGGTCCATGTGGATAGATATACCTACATACTGGACCATGGTCCATGTGAATAGATAAATGCACAGGTACCTGGTCCATGTGCATAGATGTACATACTGGACCATGGTCCATGTTAATAGATACATGTTCAGGTACCTGGTCCATGTGGATAGATGTACATACTGGACTATGGTCCATGTGAATAAATACATGTACAGGTACCTGGTCCATGTGGATAGATGTACGTACTGGACCATGGTTCATGTGAATAAATACATGTACAGGTACCTGGTCCATGTGGATAGATGTACATACTGGACCATGGTCCATGTGAATAGATACATGTACAGGTACCTGGTCCATGTGGATAGATGCACATACTGGACCATGGTCCATGTGCATAGATATACATACTGGACCATGGTCCATGTGAATAGATACATGTACTGGTACATGGTCCATGTGGATATATATACTTACATACTGGACCATGGTCCATGTGAATAGATACATGTACTGGTACCTGGTCCATGTGGATAGATGCACATACTGGACCATGGTCCATGTGGATAGATGTACATACTGGAACATGGTCCATGTGAATAGATACATGTACTGGTACATGGTCCATGTGGATAGATATACTTACATACTGGACCATGGTCCATGCAAATAGATACATGCACAGGTACCTGGTCCATGTGGATAGATGTACATACTGGACCATGGTCCATGCAAATAGATACATGCACAGGTACCTGGTCCATGTAAATAGATATACTTACATACTGGACCATGGTCTATGTGAATAGATACATGCACAGGTACCTGGTCCATGTGGATAGATGTACATACTGGACCATGGTCCGTGTGAATAGATACATGTACTGGTACCTGGTCCATGCGGATAGATATACTTACATACTGGACCATGGTCCATGTGAATAGATACATGTACAGGTACCTGGTCCATGTGGATAGATGTACATACTGGACCATGGTCCATGTGAATAGATACATGTACTGGTACATGGTCCATGTGGATAGATATACTTATATACTGAACCATGGTCCATGCAAATAGATACATGCACAGGTACCTGGTCCATGTGGATAGATGTACATACTGGACCATGGTCCATGTGAATAGATACATGTACAGGTACCTGGTCCATTGGAATAGATACATGTACTGGTACATGATCCATGTGGATAGATATACTTACATACTGGACCATGGTCAATGTGAATAGATACATGTACTGGTACATGGTCCATGTGGATAGATATACGTACTGGACCATGGTCCATGTGAATAGATACATGTACTGGTACATGGTCCATGTGGATAGATATACTTACATACTGGACCATGGTCCATGCAAATAGATACATGCACAGGTACCTGGTCCATGTGGATAGATGTACATACTGGACCATGGTCCATGCAAATAGATACATGCACAGGTCCCTGGTCCATTGGAATAGATACATGCACAGGTCCCTGGTCCATGTGGATAGATATACATGTACTTACATACTGGACCATGGTCTATGCAAATAGATACATACACAGGTCCCTGGTCCATGTGGATAGATGTACATACTGGACCATGGTCTATGCAAATAGATACATGCACAGGTCCCTGGTCCATTGGAATAGATACATATACAATCAGAATTTATCTATTACAATATAAGTCTTCAGTGATGAATAAATTATTCAGCAATTAAACAAATTGTATACACACAATCAGGTTTCTAACAAAAATCATGATAATTTACAATTACTTTTTTGGTTAAAAATGCATATTAGATATTTGCCTCACTGTTAAGAAGAATACTTATAAAGACATTTTGATAAACAAGTATGTCATTCCCTGATTGGTTGGTCAGTTAGATGTAAAAGCTGGATAACCACTCTTGTAAAGTCACTTATACATACCCAGTAAACAAGCAAAGTGTTCCCTGATTGACTTGCATAGGATGCTAATCAGGAACAATCTGAAAAGGACGTCTTTGAAAACTGACATTGGATAAGCTAAAACAAGCAGTCAACTGCTTAAGAAAAGTGATAGCTGTGCTCTATTTATGTAATTATGATGCAAACAAAGGCAAACTACAAAATATTGTACTTGTCCAACATACTCAGATCCAAAAATCATGTTTTTTTAGGAGGTTGGTACTGAGTCAAACACTTAAATTATCCAAATAACAATTTTCATCACCATGTGGCAAATTTGGGGAAATATTACAAGATATGCATATTATTTCCATACCATTAGAAATAATCATGTAAAAATTATTAGGGACTGTGGGGAAAGCCATAAATCTTTTTTTCTTAAAAATGAGGATTCACAATAAACGTCACATTTCCAGTCTTTGAAAAAGAAATACATGGCCTTAGATAACATGAATAACTATAAAAATGGATATGTTTGAGTGTTTGTAATGTATCACTGTCATTCATATGGAATATACCCAGTCCACATGTAGAGAAGAAACCTACAATGACTCTGATTAGATGTACCAATTTTGAATAAACTTGTAAAAATAAATGATGTGCAACAGTAATCTCCATGGAGACAGCCATCATATTTGAATGACACAAAGCCAGGCACATGAGAAAAATATTTGGTGACATGTTGAAAGAAACGTACATATAAATACGATTATATATTGTCTTTGTACAAACCTTGAACAAAATGGTGGCCAGTTAGCAGTTTTGTATTTATCACAGAACAAACAGATGTGCACCAGTTACTTATCATGTGTGGCATTCATACTAGGTTCGACTAAGACATGCCTGGGAAACAGTTGATGACATGTTCAAATTTTGTGATATTAGTTTGTTTATTTTTTGACAACAATGACTGCCAGTCAGTTAAATTATATTTAAATATATCCAAAATACCTGGAAGGATCACATGTATTGCCTTTGTAACAACTTTATTATGAAATCAGCAAATGCATGCCTGAGAAATGTCCAGTTGTTCAATGTGACGCAAATAAATATTATATATATTCCATTACGACAAGTTTTTGTAACAACTGTGAACAAAATCAGTCCATTCATGTTTCACATGAACAATTTGAGAAACTGCATCAGATGGATTGAAGATAAAAATGAAGCTGAAAACTGATGTCAAGGAACTGGAGTATTTGCCTTTCTCAGAGCCAGGTATCCAGAGACAATATCCATTGGTAACATTCGTATCCTGGAAAATTCATCAGTATTTGCATATCGTATCTTTGTATGGGGATCAGTGTACCTGGCCTATACATGTAGAAGGGTGAAAACATATTATTAGAAATATACAATACTAAGGTCAGTACATTGGTGGCTCCTGTGACATTCTTTTGAAATATCATAAGTTTAATATTTGTGAATCATTCTCAGTTCCTATGATATTTTCCCATTTCATCACCAACAGAATCCTACATGTACTTGGCAAATTGTAGTGAGAAATCTGTAAATTGAATTTATGAAATATTTTTAACTGAAGATGAAAAATAATAAATCAACAGTTTTTCTTTTGACTGTAGGCACTGATAGATCAATGATTGGTTTCAGAAATTTCCTATAAAAGATAATGTGTTGATTAACTCATCTGTGAAGTGCTGAAAAATATGTTAGCGGTATTTTTTGTACTTACAGCTAGTCCTGACAGATCTGAATATTTCTTAGCTGGCTTAAATGATGGTGGTGCATCAATACTGCTGTCTACAATAAGAGAAAAGAAAAAAGAAATCCATGTTAACAGAGTTCCACAGTTATCTCACCAAATTAGAAATAAAAACAAGCAGCCTGTCAGCTGAGATAGCTCCACTGTTAGCAATGTCTATTTCAATTAAAGATATAATTTGAAAGTGAACAATACATGTATGTATAGTATTAAAGCAATCAGACTTGCTATTTTCAACAAAAATCGAAAATATCACTTTTTACCAAAAATGACAAATATATTCACCAAAATTAGAGAATTAAAGATATCTTCACAAAATGAACAAATCTGAGAGAGGTACACATGTAGTACCTATATGTATAATATCAAAGCAATTGGACTTGCGTTTTTGAAAAAGAAGTCGAAAATATCACTTTTTACCAAAAATTACAAAATGTTCATCAAAATTAGAGAATTGAAGATATCATTATAAAATGAACAAATCTAAGAGAGGTCCACATGTAGTACCTATATATGTAATATCAAAGCAATTGGACTTGCGGTTTTCAACAAGAAGTCGAAAATATCAATTTTTACCAAAAATTACAAAAATATTCACCAAAATTAGAGAATTAAAGAATCATTACAAAATGAACAAATCTGAGAGAGGTCCACATATAGTACCTATACATGTAATATCGAAGTAATCGAACGTCAGAATGAATGATTTGATTACATACAATATTCACACTTACAGTATACCCGGTACCCTTTTGGTCATGTGACCCACTGTTCTAGCCATCAGTTCTATATTTCTGTATTTCACACTTTGTCTTTACAATATTTAATATATGTAGACTAATAATTTTCACAAGCATAATAGTGACAACCACAGTTTGGTTCATGGATATGTACAAGAGTAATTCAAACACTTTTAAGTGCCAAGTATTTCTGAACATACAGCTTGGTTTAGGTTGTGTCAATTTTAGAGGTGAATGAGAGTTCTTTCTCAAAAAAGTTGGCTAAGCTGGGTTTAAACCATGATTTCTTATCCTAAGCAAGATTAGGCTGGGATAGCTATACAAATAAAGACATTTGAAGTAGAATACAATCCTGTCATGTGATAAATATGACAAAACACTGAATAAAGAAATTTGTATTTATGCAAATATGCTGCTCCAATGACATTCGGCCTTGTGAGGTTTGATGCTGACCATAAGTGTGGGTGTTACTTTGAAATACCATGGCTACAGATACAAGTCAAGTCAGAGTAAATTTTGTAACTACTTATACCCAAGTGTGGTTCATAAGAATGGGAGGGCGTAAGGGAGGGGGGTATTCTGTACTGAGATACAGCTACACGTACTGGCAGAATTGCTACCAGTATTGACAAAACTAAAAACTAATGAGCTACACTCACAATACAAATTGTTTAATTTAGAGAACTTACATGTTGGATCATTTGGGTGCCATGGTAATGACCTTTCTGCAGAAATGATTTGCTTAGCATTCCTCCATATTCTTTTCTTTCCTGAGGTAGCATTTCCACTGTGCTAATAAATGAAAAATTTATAAATTTGAAAACTTGGGGTTAAAAATTGTAATATTTTCTCGACTAGAAGTGCATCTTTAATAGAAATTGCCTTAATTGAATGCTAGATCATTAAAATATGACTTAGATGTATTATGAACAGATATTCCAAAATTCACAAATTTCAACATTTGTTAATCCATTTGTGTCACTTTTCACAAAATTAACATACATGTATTTTTTCCAAATATTTTGATCAAGACCTGTAATTAAGGGGAAATTATGTCCATACTGAAATGACATAAAAATATATAAAACTGTGCAACATGTTGCACCAACATTTTGGTGGGAAAAAGGCAGTCATTTAGTGTACACATTATTATGAACAAACCTTAGACATCAGTGGCCACACAGATTACGTTGACATCGAGAGAGCCCAAAGATTTGTTTTTGCTCTTCACATATTGTTACATGCTTTATCGTCATGGTATTTCAATCATTTATTTGAAATTCATTAAAATTACTTACGACAAAAGTTGCATCTTTGAATGGGAAGACTTTCTGATTGTCAGAAACTGCAGGACTGGATGATCGGGAGACAGAATCAAGACTTTCCAAGTCAGGTGTTGAACTGCAAGGCTGTAGACAATATACACAGACAATGAGATATTTTCAGCAACAAAATTAGCACTACTAGCATTGACATATTTCTGAATCATGAACACTCATTTTCATCTGGTCACAATTTGGGAATTTTGATCAAAGACTGTGATTTTTTCTACCAACACATACTTGCTGGGTGATGTTTGCATGGCACATTCTCTGTTAGTTATCAAATTTAAGATATATAGTTTTGTTTATAGTAATATAGCTGGAGTATAACCATGTCAGGAATATGATTATGATGATTGTTTAACATTAAAATGATTGACATTTGTATCTGATCAACAATTGAGTACTTGTCCATATTGAGAGATACATGTATTGCTCTGGAACAGCATTAATTAAAACAAAATCAGCCATTTTGAATACATTTATATATCTATAACATGATGTATAATGAATATATAAAATTTGAACATAATCAGTCAAAGCATGTCAGAGATATGGCTCTAGAAGCCCATTCATTAAAACAAAATGGCCGGCAGTCAGCCATTTTGAATCCGATCTGAAAAATAAAATGACGTCCATCAGGAACCCATAAAATTTAATGAATGTTATAAGTTTGAATGAAATCCATCCATAAATGCCAGAAATGCTTGATATTTGATGATTTTTTAGCACAAAAATTTGAATAGGATCGTCAAACCAATATATCTGTATATATCTGACATGATGTATAATGAATATGTAAAATTTGAACATAATCAGTCAAGTCAAATATATGGCACTAGAACCACATTCATTGAAAGGAAATGGCCACCAGTCGGTCATTTTGAATCTTATCTGAAAAACAAAATGATTTGAATCAAGGTCCCATAATGTCTAATGTATATAATAAGTTTGAACAAAATCTATCCATAAACAGCCTAAATGCTTGATTTTGATGATTTTTTAGCACAAAAATGTCCACCATTCAGCCATTTTGAATCAAATCGTGAAACATTTTGATGTGCATATGTATAATATCATGTATGATGTATGCGTGAAGTTTGATTGCAATTGGTCCAGTCATTTCTAAGATACAGGTCCGGACACACGCACACACGGATGCACGGACACATAGAGGTCTGATTGGGGACTAATAATCTTTGTATGGTTTTACCATTGATTTTCCCATATTCTTCAAAAGTAGTTTGTTTTTTATATTTTTGTTTCAATTTAAAAATCAAAGTTAAACTGTAAATAGCTCCTGTGTGATCAGAGCATGTATTATAAAGGTATAGGCTTTGCCTAATAAGTGAATGTAATTGCCAATGTATGTCAATCCATCAATAAAATTGATCAAGATGTCTGAGAATCTATGACATACTGTATATGGAAACACATGATTTTGATATGGGCATTTTGAAAAACTTGCAAGGACACTATACTTGTAAACAAAGGGAACTAATGAGGCACTCTATGAATGAGGTATTTCTAGAGGTCGGGGTTTGTCTCGTCTGCAGTTGAATTTTTGCTTTGATTTTCTTTTCTTTGACTTAATTTCACTTGTTTTTTTTAATAATTTTTGGTAATTAGTGTCATTAGCGATGGAGTAGTAAAAACCGCAATTAACCTTAGTGCAGCAAATCGGGATAGATCTTCCTGACGCAGTAGGCAAATTTCACTATTTTTGCTGACAAGTAAAATCTGCTAAATTAAACCTACGTGAACATGTAAAGTAACAACAGATTGTTTCCTTGACAGATTCTTGAAATTAAATCATCAAAATAGTACAACTAAAAAGTCTGTACAACATACATGTACCTAAAACAGATAAATAAAAACATCGTAGTTTAATGTTTGTCCAGACTTTGAGCCCTTGAAAGTAAGTGATCCAATCCTTACATACGCCAACGATTGAAATTTGTTTAATTGCTATCAAATTATCGCTCGAAAAAAAAAATTTTATTTGTGAGACGTGCTTTTGATACAAACCGAAGATCGCGATCGACCCTACACAAAACTACCGCCATTTTGTCTTCCTTGTCCTCGTTCGGCAAAAACAAAAAAAAGAGATTGTTTACAAATTAGATCAGATTGGAAGTGCTTTCAGTCACGTTGTGTAGCTCCAATGCGTAAAATAGAAAATTGATATCTTGAATAAAACTGACAAACTTCCTTGCTGTTGCTGTCGGGTGTCTGCCTTATACATGGATTAAGTGTAGACGCGGGGATTCAGCTTTCCTTTTCTCTGCTCGTGGCGTCACAATAGCGGAGAAGGTCAGTACTGGGTTGAACCGACAGCCATGGCCATTATATTTTGAATGATCATAAATAATTTTTGAACCAAATAGTAGTGATCACTGATTATTATAAAAATTTCTTGCAAAGTCTGGAACGATACTGAAAAAAATCGTTGATTTCCTTCTATACTCATTCTTGAAAGTAGGTCCAAGTATCCGCAGGTGAATATGAGTATCCAGATAATAAGTTAGGATCGATCAGTTCACACGAATTGTTTTGTTCTGATTCATCATTGCAAAACAATGGCCTGGAAACGGCCCAGCTTGGGGGAAACAGTATCGTGGAAAGAAAAAACAGTATCAGACCCGACACCCTTAAAAGACCTGATGAGAACACTTCAGAATCGCGGGCGAAACGAAAGTTAGGCGACTATTGTCTAAGCGAGGCAGGCCCGAGGAGAACACTGTACCTGTAACCAGCACATTTACGAATCAAAATTGGCAGAAAGTTGTACGGCATCTGTCTTCGATTTTGTCTATTGATGAATATGACGCATAAAGTGAAATTGAACTTGTGTTCATGAAAATCGGAAAGGGTACTGCTTTTTCGTCAAACTGAAAAAATGGCCATATCACTCTTGTAACTGCACATGCGTACTCCCCATACTCGCATACATTTGATGTTTTTAGTTGCTGTATCTGCTCAAATAACATCCATCATGATATAATAAATCATCATATACTAAAATTCGCAAATTTGCAGACCTTCCAATGAAATATTACCAGTTTTTTTTTGCAACAGAATACGTTATTGCAATATGCAAATTAGGCTACTCACCCTAGTCAAATATTTGTTAAGAAACTTTAAAGACTCTAAGTTATAAATTAATTAATGCAATAATTGACTAATTAATATGCATGAAATTGCACCAAAATCTAATCAGCACATCTACACATCATATATTAGCTGTGTGCTAAATTTCATTTGAATTGAAATTGTAGATCTTGAGTTATCAGTGGAACAAATTTTAGTCACAGAGTCACAGACACCGGTACCACTCCATTTCACGGGAGCTAATGATAATGTGGTCTGCGTGTGTGAATTTTTCATCTAGACATATACTGTATATTGTAACGCAAGTCATTTCTGTTAAAGTTTTCTCATCATGAATGAGCTTACAGAATATTCAACAGTGTTTCTGTTGCTTGTTATTCTAAAGTTGTATTCTGAGAAGATTTTGCCACATTAGATTGGTTCTATATAATATAAATATGTCTGTCAACTGTTTGTCATGTTAATTGAAGTCTTGGGGTGTATTCCTTGAAAATCTTTTTATGTATTCTATACTATGAACAATTTAAGATATAACTAACCAGTTCTTGTCATTGCTATGTTTACATTTTCACTACTATATCATATACGGTTATTAAGTATGCTTTAAAAGTATTTTGAATGTACATGTATATTTTTCAGAAAGATAAATCCAAAGTCAAGAGGTGCAATTCTGAACTACTATACCTCGATCTTAGTCCCGATAGATGCTTGGCACTGAAACATGTGTCAAGAATTTCTGCCTGAACGCTCTGTCAAACCTAGTAGTGAATTCAACATACCGGTATACTGATTCATAATGTTGTAACATGACGATAGAGGAAGGTGAGTTATATATGGTTGAATGCTGTAGTAATCAAGGAAATGAATGCAAACAGTCTTCAGCGTCGCATATTTATGTGCTGATGTAACCAGTATTTTTTTGCAATGCTACATTGACATGAAAAAATAATTGTTTTTTCAAATCTTCTTCATGTGCACCATGACTCGTAATAAATACCATAAAAACAAATGGATATAATTTCAATATAACAATTATTATTTTCATCATATGGGTGTTGTTTTCCATTTTTGGGTCAAATAACAGATCAACGAATGAAAGCGTGATTTTGGCTCAAGCCGAGTGTGTCCCAATGTGGGTCCCAACTAACGTGAACGTAACTGCTGTACTCTCTCTCCAAACATGAAGAATAAAAATTTCGATACGAACTTACATCCCATAATGTGAACATAGCAAATATTTCTACATTATTTGTTATTTACCATACCATTGTTGGTTTTGGTTGTGTAATAAAGTTATTATTATTGTTATTATTATCATTTCTACATCAACCTTGCATCATTTCTACATCATATAGATTTACATTTGTAAACATATATGGTTAATCAGTGTTGGGCCGCCATGGTAAAATCATACGCCACCAGGTTAAATATCGCGCTGCCAGGGTAAAATTCTTCAGCTGCATGCTAAAATGACCAAATATAATCCCACATAAGTATAAATTCAAAGTGTTTTAATACATTAGTGAGAGGTCGCATTTTACATGAACAAGAACATGCACTAAGAAGGATCAAAGAAAGCTTAGAAAGAACTCCCGTGTGCTGAGAGTATTGAAGACACATTAGAAATTAATTCAAAAGTACTAGTACATGAGATATTGATGGAAAAACTGAAAACTAATTATGTAAGTCAGGTAACTAATATGAACAGAACAGAACAAACAAAATATGAATTATTATGCTAATTAGAGAATTAATATGAACAAATTTTAACCCCAAATTAATATCAGGCCTGTCTATTGTCCTAGAGCATTCATGTACCAAATTTTATTCAAATGTGATGATCAGTAATTGAGATATCAGTGTTAATTAATTATATTAATTAGGTGATTAATAAGCATAAATATTTACAAAAAACTAATTAGGTTTCTGCATAGTTCTCTTTAAAAGTTTCATTAAAATCCAATTTGTGGTTCTTT